GACGTCATCAAATCCTCAGCCGCCCCGAAGAGCAACCTCTATCCACGGAAATTTGCCGTCTGCGCAGCCCTCGACCAGGCTACAAAACGAGATTCCCCGGAATTACCATCATTATTCTTCCCCGCTCCTCGCCGTCCCTTCTACACCCGCCACGCTTTCTTCCCGCGCGACTTAATATCCTTTCAATTAAAAAGCTACGGTAAGAGAGCAACAACGCCGTGACACGGGTCGGATGTATCGAACGGGAATGTTAACAACGCGTCGAATAATTCTGTGTTTTACGATGCTTTTGGGTGGACGGATGGAAACGGGAATATTTAAGACGATACGTACCGGCTGAGATATCATGGAGATTTTATGGAGATTTTATGGAGATAACGGTAAATGTGTTTTCTTATTTTTCTTTTTTCTCTTTGCGTGTCGGAAATAAAGTTTGTTTCGCCTATTGTGCCTCGCGATTAGATCATTGTGAAATGATATTGTGGATATTTCAATTTGCACATTTTACTGTTATTATTTTACTGTCCTACTTTATATATTAGGAGCGAGCGATAACAAAAATCGAGGCGGAGAAACAAACGAATCAAAATTCATCGGAATATCGATCGAGAACGGACGCGTAAATAATTTGCATGACGCGGAACAACAATTTCTCGAAGTATTTACAAGGGTTGTAAATATATCGATTAGAAGATTCGGGTATATATTTTCCGAGCCCTTTTATGACAACTTGGTCATTGAATCCCAGAGTCTTCGCCACTGCCGTCTAAGCAAAACTTTCCAGACAGTTTCTTCGTTCCTATTTATCGGTATCATCGCGTCGGTTTCTTTCATCTTCTTTGGTCTTATCCGTTCTTTTGATCTCGTTTCTCGAGCTCGCCTCCCATTCTTGAATTCTCTTTTCATTTTCCTTCCCGTCGAATACGAAGCAAAAATCCGGCTTTCTTCACATTTTCTCCAGATCATGTTGCAATGTAATTTATTTCTCGGGTCTTGAACGCAATGACTCGGCTAATTTCTTTCGAGATAATTATATTTAATTGTTAGCATTATTTTTAAAACTGTTTCGATTCCACCTTTTTAATATCTGTCTCGTTGTCGAAGCGTATTTGTTCGGGCTGGAGTCTAAAATTAATAAGCGTAGATACTTACTGTGCTTCAATTATTGTGCTTCAATTACTGGGCTTCAATTACTATGCTTCAATTATTTGCTTCAATTACTGGGCTTCAATTACTGGGCTTCAATTACTGTGCTTCAATTACNTTTTCTCCAGATCATGTTGCAATGTAATTTATTTCTCGGGTCTTGAACGCAATGACTCGGCTAATTTCTTTCGAGATAATTATATTTAATTGTTAGCATTATTTTTAAAACTGTTTCGATTCCACCTTTTTAATATCTGTCTCGTTGTCGAAGCGTATTTGTTCGGGCTGGAGTCTAAAATTAATAAGCGTAGATACTTACTGTGCTTCAATTATTGTGCTTCAATTACTGGGCTTCAATTACTATGCTTCAATTATTTGCTTCAATTACTGGGCTTCAATTACTATGCTTCAATTATTTGCTTCAATTACTGGGCTTCAATTACTATGCTTCAATTATTTGCTTCAATTACTGGGCTTCAATTACTGGGCTTCAATTACTGTGCTTCAATTACTATGCTTCAATTATTGTGCTTCAATTACTGGGCTTCAATTACTGTGCTTCAATTACTGTGCTTCAATTACTGTGCTCCAATTACAATGTTTCAATCACTGTGCTTCAGTTGCTGTGCTTCAATTACCGTGCTCCAACTACTGAGCTCCCTTCCTGAATACCGAGCCTCGATAACAGTACACTCGTCGAGCACATTGAAGATAACAAGCATTAATTTATTATTAATTCAATGAAATAAATTCATCGAGCAAGCTCGCCCTAAACGCATCTTCATAATCGCAACGATCGCGAATTAAACAATTTGGAATACGTCGTCGTCTCGACTCGCGTTCCGTAACACATTCTATACCAAAGGAACGTAGTCTCGTCGAATCATCCGCCGATAAAAATGCTCTCAGTGCGCGGACATTTTTAATTGTCCCCGGGGAATCTTTTATTCGCGCCGGGGAAAGGAGCTAAATACTTTTCATTTTCGGAGGTGTCCCTAAATCACGGCCGCTCTAGGACGTAACGTAGAGCGGAAATTCGTCCTCGACCGTAATTTGCACGGATCGCGGACCAAACTGCTGGAACATGAAAACGCTCGGCTGCGCCGCTACCCCTGTGAAAAGGAAGGGTGGGAGGATAAAATGTCACGCAGGCTGAAGCGCATTACCATACGCTACGACCGTGGAACATATATAAGACTGCCTGTTCGGACGGAGGGCCCAAATTAATTATTCTGTAACAACTTCGAATGAGACTCGCTCTCTCCGTGCTCTTTCTCCGTATTCCATCTGACTTCTCCCCTCTGTTTCTCGTTGCGACCTCATTGTGTTCCCACTGTCTTCGTGCTGCCGCTCTCTCTCTCTCTCTCTCTCTCTCTCTCTCTCTCTCTCTCTCTCTCTCTCTCTCTCTCTCTGTTACCTGGAATCTTTGTCTTCCAGTCAAAATTCACCTTTTGCTAATTACGCCTGCGGATCAGATATTGTGATATCGCGAATCAGAGCGACGACGAAAAGAGAAACGCTACGTACAGCAATGTCTCTCTAATTGACGCTCGGATTGTCCAGAAAAATGGACAATTTGGGAACAGGAGATACGATTATTCGAGCCTTGCGGTTCATTTTTATAGTTATAAATTGTCCACAATTATAAAAATGAGCCGCAAGCCTCGAATAATCTCCTCTTCCCAAATTATCCAATTTAGTGGACAATCTGAGCGACAGTAAGGGAGACATTACTATATTTGCCTGTTCATAGTTCACTTTGGGAGAAGTAAAATCTTTATTGTTCATCTCTTCGCACGAAAATTTGTTAACATAACGAACGGTTCGCTCGACAAATTCTCCTGCGAAAAAGACAACAATAAACGTAGAAGAAATCGTTGCGAGACCCCGCACGATCAACGGATTTCAATTATTCGGGCGCAGATCGCGATTATAATTAGTCAAAAATTCGTTTAGGTTTTTTATTTCGACGGGAATTGTATTCCGATCGCATATTATGCAGGGTTTTCCGTAAATCTACATCAAAACAACGATTGTTACGCGACGATTTTTCTCGTCTCGATTGCAACTGCTATAAATAAATAAATAAACAAACATATAAATATATAGCAGTTTTCTTTCGTCTCGTGGCCCAAGCGGAACTGTTATCCAGTGGGAGAACAGAGCGAGCGCGGTTTTCTATTAACGCGGAGGGTAAAATCGCGGCGAGTTTGTAGAACTAACAAGAAGCCGGGCACCGGCTCCACCGAAACCCCCGCAACGTTTCCGATTCTAACAGAGAGAAGAGACATATTTTCCGGTGGATGCAAAGGCAGCCGGTGTTGGGTTGCAGACAGAGAGTACCAAGTGTGGTTGGTCTGCGGGTTCACGCGGGAGCAGAAGGGGTTGTGGGGTCCGGGGGCTGTTCTAACCTAACAGTCGTCCGCTTTGCTAGCGATCGACAGTGACAAACGGGTCAGTGGAGCGGGAAACGTTTATCCCCGGTATTGTGGATCGTAATCCTTTCTGCGCGGAGAACTTTGAAGCGTGGCAGAAAGAAAATGGCGGCTCCCTTAAAGCGTCGTGGCCGCCTAAGAAAAACAATTTAGCGGCCATTGTGCCGAGAATCGTCGACCACTGCCAACGGAATTTAACGTTAATGCGAGATATAAATAATGCGCCATCTTTGTACTACTTTTATACTAAAAAAACCCAACGACGGCTTTGAAATACTAGATCAAAAATGGAGCCAAGCGTTCTCGTGCGAGGGACGATTGGTCGAGTTATTCGGAAACAGAAGGTTTTCTACGTTCAATTCCCTGTCTGGTGCTCGATCAGCTCGATTTCTTGCTCTAATTTATTGCCCAGTACATGTACAGACCAATGAATCCTCCCAGGGACTACAAATCTTCGACGAAAAATAGAAAGGGGTAGAACGAGCTCCGCGAAAAAAACGTCAAACGCAGCCACTAAACGATGCGTGTTTCTTTCGAAGTAGCATGTCGCGAGGGAAATAACTCTTCCTTCTCAAAAGAGAGGAATCACGAGGGTCGGGGAGGGGGGGGGGGGGGGGGAAATAAAATAAATTCTCCCCAATTGACGCCCAGATTGCGCACAGAAATGGACAATTTAGGAGGAGGAGATACGATTATTCGATTTATTCGTTTTATTCATTTTACGTCGATTTTTTGACACAACCTTGGCATAATCTTGCGGCTCGTCTTTTTGCACAATCCGAGCGTCAATTAGGGAGAATTTACCGTAATTGCGAAGCCTGGTGGTCCGACGACGAAACCGTGGTACGAGACGGTCCAGAATCTGCGGCGAACTGCTGTGCAAGATGCGATGTAGCTTCTTCCCTCCAGTTTGCTTTTGTATCTTATAAAACCTTGTCGTTCAAGTCAAGCGAATGTGTCCTCCCGCATAGTTGGACAACTATGGCGTTTGTGTTGCGCGCAGAGGAGACAGTGTCAAGTTATTTGCGTTCCTGCGCCGACTTTGAAGTTACGGGGATCCCCGATATGCAAAAAGGTAATAGTTTCCGTAAGTTCTACAACGCGTCATAAAGTTTCGCTGTTTCTATACGTGGCCGCCGTTCGCCGACCGCGAATATACGAGGCGTAATTTCCGAGATAAACGGCTGGACAGGTGAAACGGTGCCTAACGTTGTCTTCTTCGTCCTGTAACCATGGACGAACGGTACAGTAAATTCTCCCCCAATTAAATATCGGAAACTAAATGGTGCATTGAGAATATTTGTACTCCGAGTACGACATCTTGAACAGAATAAATATATGTTCATGAAAATTGTCTCGCAATTCATAATATGGCAAGTTGTTACCGAATGAATTGTTGCTGAGCGAAGAATACGAAGCTTACGCTTGTAACAGATACCATTTTATTCGGAAATTTTCCGTCAATTACACCGTCTTGTTCGCGCCGCGTTTTGCATTCGCAGACAACTTCCCTTTGTGACTTTTATCCTGAAAATGAATATACTTGTAAGCGTTGTGTCGATGTTATGTCAAGATTGTACAAGTTGTCCTAAAATTATGGTGCTTCCGGGAAATGAGGGATTCCTGAGATCATTCGAAGTAACTTTTTCCTTTGCAACATTTTTCTACGCGGCTTGGTTTACGAGTTATTAACGAAAAACGCTGACCAATCGGAGAACGAGCGCTGCCGGCGCTCCGCCTTTGCAGCCAATGCCGCGACGCTCTGGCCATCTGGCGCAGTGGCAGTGGTCGCGAGGGCGGAGCGCCAGCTGATCTCGCCTCTCATTGGTCACTGTTTTTCGTTAATAACTCGTAAACGAAGACTCGTAGAACATTTTCGCTGAGGAAAAAGTTATTTCAAATAATCTCAGGAACTCCTCATTTCCCGGACGTGCCATAATCTTGGGAAACCCTGTATACAGGTTATATATAGTTTATACAACCATGACATAACCTGAAGCAGTGAATAAATAGCTCAATTAAAAATGAAGCGCGTTTGCTACTGTTAAATTACTCACGTATTTCGCTAAAGCATGGAGCGCTTGCGTAACCAACGTCAACATCTCGACTTCCATAAACTGACGAGCTGTAACTGTCGTCGACGACAATGATCTCGAATGATCGTACAACGATGCGATCGACTGGAGCAAGAACGCCAGAAACGCCAACGACGCCAGCACGCTCAAAGGATCAAAAATTCTAGGAAATAAATCGAGTTGAATGTGAAAAATTGAATAGGCGAAATCGAGCATTGTTCGTCTCGGAGTGCACTTACGGATAGTAGGCAGGAGCCATAGACGTCTGAGTCGCCTGACCGGTGTAATAACTTTTTCTTTGGAAATCGGCGAATATGTCGTTGAATCCTGGGAACTTTATCCCGAAAAAAAACTAATAAATCGTGGACCAAAAGTAACAGTTATCTGATAAATTCAAATTGTGAAGTATCTAATCGTGAAATATAAAAGAAAATTTCAATTTTTGGTTACAAACAATCAATTACGATTGACCGAGAAATGGTTTCGTTGCCAATAAATCATTTTTTGTACTGCAAAGAATTTTAAGAAGTTGCTTAATCCTTGGCCTAAACATACAACTATTATTTATGGCTGAAAACATTTCAATAAAAATAATAATTGTTCTGGAATCTTTCTTTCGTATCGATTAAAACTAGACTGCGAATTTATGCTATTTACATAGAAAAATGTCAAGCTTATGTTAGAAGGTTTTTAAAATATCCTTAATGTCTATTCAATTTATCGAATTCATCGGCAGAAGAAATATAATTTAACTGAATTTCAGTCTCTTACAATCGATTGAGAAAATTCGTATTTCGAGCAGAGAGATCCGCAATCTAATTACAACAGTTATGGTTCCCGTACTAAACTGATCCTCTTTCCCAGGGAGTGTTACAGTTCAGCGGACAACGTTTCGGAAATATTACGTACAGTTCTGGAAGCAACTGGATAAAGCTTCTGCGTGTCGAAACTATTCGCCGTGCGAGCAGCGTTCGTCAACGCGCCGCAACAAATGGATCCGAACAGCCCGGCGATTACCAAAGTCTTCAACATCCTTCCGTCAGAGAATTCCCGGGCGCGTTCGATGGATTTGGCACAACGTCGTCGAGAAAGAAACTTTGTCGTTAACACCACTTTCGATTGTTTTATTCCTGTGTGCGCCGAATCCGACCGACGATCGCTGGCTCTCTCTTCCCGACGTTCCTCTTTCGAATGCAACCATATATTTATAGTTTCCGAGACGCATTCGTCCGCACGTCATCTCGTTATACGCTCCACATACTCGTCACGCAGCACTTTCGTAACTCTTCTGGAATAAAATGTGCAGAAATTGTGCGCTTCCTCTGTAACGAGCGCGTGGAACGCGGTGTAACGAACGAATACGGGGTACGGTAATGTCTCTCTAATTGACGCTCAGATTGGCCACGAGAATGGACAATCTGGGAAGAGGAGATACGATTATTCGAGCCTTGCGGTTCGTTTTTATTGTTGCCGATTGACAACTATTATAAAAATCGAGGCGCAAGGCTTATGTCCACATTAATTACTTTTAAGGTTATGTAGAAATTCTCTCTAACTGCTTTGCTGGACAATTCGGGGAGAAGAGTTACTATTATTCCAGCCTCGTGGCTCACTTTTATAGATTCTGATTGACAACTATTATAAAAACGAGGCGCAAGGCTCGCACTTATGTCCACATTAATTACTTTTAAGGTTATGTAGAAATTCTCTCTAATTGCTTTGCTGGACAATTCGGGGAGAGGAGTTACTATTATTCCAGCCTCGTGGCTCACTTTTATAGATTCTGATTGACAACTATTATAAAAACGAGGCGCAAGGCTCGCACTTATGTCCACATTAATTACTTTTAAGGTTATGTAGAAATTCTCTCTAATTGCTTTGCTGGACAATTCGGGGAGAGGAGTTACTATTATTCCAGCCTCGTGGCTCACTTTTATAGATTCTGATTGACAACTATTATAAAAACGAGGCGCAAGGCTCGCACTTATGTCCACATTAATTACTTTTAAGGTTATGTAGAAATTCTCTCTAATTGACACTCTGCTGGACAATTCGGAGAGAGGAGATACGATTATGCTCATGTGGCTCATTTTTATAAAAGCCGACTGTCAACTATTATAAAAAAGAAGCGCAAGGCTCGCACTTCTGTCCACATTAATTACTTTTAAGGTTATTTGTATATATTCATATATTTAGATATTTGTATTTATTTATTTATGTGCATATATACATATTCATCACTGCTTAGAAGTAATTAATGTGGACAGAAATAAAATGAGACACTTAAATTTTAAGCGAAACCTCTTTCAGATAAATATACGATCGTTTATAGAAATGGAGTGGTTCTCAGATAGTCGTGTCGCGCGTAGATAACACAAATGCCCCAAGACCCAGACTTAAGTACAAAATAGGAGACGTTGGTCACTCCATAAATTTCAAGGGTTATATAGGAAGCATTCTCAATTCCGTTCGAATCTTCCTCTGCGAATCAATGATCTCCTCGCTTGATCATCGTGGTATTTTTACATAAAATCTGAAAACGCGAAATCTGCTAATACGATCGAAGAAAGAACAAAGTTTTTACGAAGAAAGAAACAATTTTTACGAAAAAAGAAGAAATTCTTGCCCGAAGTAACGATTAATCGATGAGCGAACGCAGCGAAATTTTTTCCGCTTAAAAATCGAAGGGAAAAATCGAAGAAAGCCTCGACGCGTGAATTCCGGAACGTATCCATGTGTTCCTGTACTTTCGTACAAAAGGAGCATTTACGTCACCATTCACCAACCGCGAATATGTGTATGTTTGCGAGGAATTTAATATTTCAGAAGACATTATACTTTCAGATGGGGAATAAAGTTTCGAGGGTCGCACGAACCAGGGATGCAAATTCATTTTTCAGTGATACCCCTCTGACAAAAATGTAAATTGATTTCGTGCCACTACAGGTCGTTTAGTTCGATGTATATCGATCCTTCCTCGATCTTTATTACTTCCCATGGCCGTAACAAGATTACTGTTTGGGCCGTAGATAACGCTTCCTCTACATTTAAATTTCATATTCATCGCTTAACTGAAAATAACGTTTTCGACGAATTCTTGATGTACCGGTTGCGAGATCTCCGCAGAATTCGGAGCTTTATTGCTGTTTCGCTGATTTTTGCGAACAAAATGTTCCAGTCAACTTTTAGCCAGTATTCTACCGTATATATGTGTGCGTATATATATATTATATTTCATAAATTTATAGTTTATAATATTATATTTTTATTATAATATATATTTTATATTATTATATTATATTTTATAGATTTATAGTTTGTAAATTATACATGCATATTATATTTTATAAATTTATAGTTCATAAATTATATATGTATATTATATTTTATAGATTTATAGTTTGTAAATTATATATGCATATTATATTTTATAAATTATATGTACAATATATATAATATCACATCATACAAAAATTGTTGGAATATCCGAATCACAGTATCTTGTATGATCTACGATATTTGGAGCACAGTAATTATAGCGTTGATATCTCAAATTCAATATTATTATTTGAAAAACAATTATTGTACAACCAAAAATGCCTTAAATTACAATTTAAATGCTTGGAGGAACACGAAACAAACGGAAGAATTGTACCGAATTGTATTCAACGAACCCCGCGAAAGATTAGCCCGAGGGCACAGTAACTGGCCCATCCATCCTGCGTTTCACTTTTCCCGCGGAGCAAATCTCTCCGGCGATATTCGTTTATCGGGCATAGGCGTGGAACACCCCGGAAACATTCCTCCGCGATCTTGCACGATGAATATTCATCCGTTCTAAACGCGGCTGTATCTGCTCGTTCTGTCTGACTCTGTACTTAGAATCAATTAGAATGATACATGATTCGCGTGCGATGCTCCCATTATGAATGGTTCTTCCAGCATTGTCGGAAGGCAGCCGCGGTTTATAAATTTATCGAGTTATATCGCCCGGGAAGAAAAATCGCATATGCGTGTACACTCGTGTCTTAGGTTCGTTCGCCGACCGCCATATTTCTATCGCTAAATAACACGACTATGTGCCGCGGCATAGCTAAAAGAAGATCGAGTTACTCCTTAATAGCCTGCACAGATTGAATAAAGGAGCTCGATGAATATTCCAGAGAAAAAGAACTTGCGCGATCAAGATCGAACGGGAAAGCACCGGCACAGGGAAATTCGCAGCAACCCGGAATTCGGCATTTCCGGGAGAAATCACTGTACATCGTGGATCAATAATTTATAGCTGGAAACGAAGTCCTCGACTGTCGCAATAATTTGTCCACAATTGTTTCCAGCTTTCTTAACGAGTCCTCTCCGATATCGTTACAAGAAATATTCGGTTAACATTTACCAAATGTAATTTCCTTTCTTTTTCAAATATTTTCCTCCTGCGAGCGATAATCGCTCGAACATGTCGCAATAAAAATGAATTTCAAAGCCTAGTTAACAATTGGCGTCCTCGATGAGGCGGCGGAGCCGATTACTGTGGATTTAATTATTATTATTATTATTATTACTAGGATTTTTAGAATGCGAAAGGGCAAAACTCATCCTATGGTAAATTTCCTCGTATTTTAACAAGGAAATTTTAGCTTCCTCGTTTTTTATTAATTAAGCGACTTCGATATCGCGGGAACTTTCGAGTTTGGTATCCGGCACTCGACCAAATAATAGCAATCGGCGCAGCACGGTGCGGAAAAATGGCGACGGGACGTGGACGACGGTTCGATGGCGAACGGCAAGGACGAAGGACACGGGCTAATGAGCGGGGGAGGAAGGACGGGAGAACTATAAAGCACGGAAGACAATAGCTGCTTCGGTACTAGAATAACGCGAGACCACGGCACGACTGATAGCGATTCAATTAATGTCGTTATCTAGGACGATCCTGTACGCGCAGCTTTTGATCGTGAACCATCATCCACTCCTCCCGGGTCAACCTTTGCCCGGACACTCTGTTGTTCATTGAAGCAGGTTTGTTGGATATTCGATCCGATAGATTGCCGTTATTGTTCAATATCCCAGACAACCGGCAACGATAAAGGGTGCGTTCGCTGATCAATGGCCGGCGCCTTGTCGTTTTCGACATTCAATTATTGCCGCATTTACGCGACAAAGGAAAGTACGGTAATTTCTACTAGAAACGATCGGAGGTCGGAATTGAAACCGGCGGATCCGAGTGTACCAAGTCGCGATTCTTCGGGACTCGATTTTATTATAGAAACTCGGGGCAGTCGGCGAAAAAAAGGCGGCAGAATAAAAACGATGGCTTGATTGTTTTATTTCTAATTGTTTGCCACGATTCGAAGGCGATTCGGAGACCATGTGACACGATTCGGAGGCGATTCGAAGGCAATTCGAAGACCACATGCCACGATTCGAAAGCAATTCGAAGCCAATTCGTAGGCCACGTGCCACGATTCGAAGGCAATTCGTAGGCCACATGACACGATGACGCCATTTTGTGTCGTCCTCCGTCGAACCTTATCATCGACGTAGCAATTAATCACATGGGCGTAGCACTAGCACAGGGAAATTCGCAGCAACCCGAAATTCGGCATTTCCGGGAGAAATCACTGTAAATCGTGGATCAATAATTTATAGCTCGAAACAAAGTCTTCGACTGCCACAATAATTTGTCTACGATTGTTCCCAGCTTTCTTAACGAGTCCTCTCCTTTCTATCCTAGGATAGTAAATAAGGATAGTAATAAACTTTCCGCGCAGGCGAATACGAGAAATTGACAGAGCGAACCGTGCGAAAAGTGAAATTCGATTTCTTGCAATTTTATTATCGCAACACTTTCGTTTCTCGCCTTCGTTTCATCGGCCCTGTTAAATACACGAATTTCGCAATCCGGTCACGTGTGAAAATTCAGCTTAACATTTTGTCTGCTCCTTCTCCCATTAACGTCCGCCTCCTGTTTTATACCGAGCTGGCACGCGAAGGAAGTTCTGCCGGCCGTACATTCGTATACCTGGTATAATACCTGAACAAAACGTATTCAAATTATGCGAACCGTAACAGTAGGTGTGCTCATTTCGATGTCTATAGATCATAGTGTTTCGCGAATTGTTTAATATCGTTCGGAGATCGACCCTGTAAAT